CAAGGATTTAGCCCACATGCTGTGACTAGTGTATTTCCTAATGAGTTATTTAGTTTACAATATTTATACTAAGCTAGGCTAACTGGCTGCTAACTGGCCCTATAGCTCCATGTTAACTGGACAGGCAGAGAATGTGAAGTTGATATGGCACTGTGTTGAATTTTGGGTAAACATGACATATTTGGAGCATCACACTCATTATCCATCATTGATACATGCACTACACTTATGTTTAAGTTAATTTAAAGAACATAAATACTATCACAGAGCTACATACAGACGTGGATGCTTCAACACCATCCAACGTTCCACTTTAGTAATCAGTTTGAGCACAGACAGGACAGAAATTGATTCATCTGAAGTTTTGTGTTATCTGCCAACAGGTACTAGCTAGCATTAGCTCCCGAACTGAGAGCTCATATCAGTGTACAGAGCAATTTTTTGGTCTGTCCCTCTTGTAGAAGGGATTTATTGGTCCACTAAAGGTTTACTCCAGTCACTTAAGGTTATCCATCCTAAATTATCACAGTCAGTAAAGTGAGATCTAAACAATTTAAGCAACGTTTTAGCCAAAATAAGAATGTATGCAGCTAAATACAGTGTGTATCTCCAAAATGGCACCCCAATCCCAACATTCAATATTGTGTGATGTACCTTCACATTGTCTGTTCCTTTGTTATGTATTTTGATATAAAAGAAAATACAAATATGTTGTCTAATTTTGAAAAGTAAAAATTGGAATAATATTACAAAACACAATGCATTTTCTGTATTTTATGAAGTTATATGTGCATGTTCTTTTCCTCACAGGAAAGGCTGAACATTAGCACCATGTGCAGTATTTGCTGTGGCAGTCTCATCCACTATGAATAGTAAGGATTTTCAAAGTTTATTCAATTTAATCTCCTTAAATAGGAATAAAAAAATCACAGCTACAGTTTGGGCTGCCATCATAACTCTGTTCAACTGTGTGCACAGCTTTCAAATCAAATTAGGATCTATAAATTCTAAAGCCTTTTGGCCTCGTGACAGGAAAAAATCTATCCTTCATAAAACTGCTGTGAAGACACATTGATACTTCAGAGAGAATTTAATTAAGTTTATGAAATCCTCTGCAGCCTGACTGTCCAGTTGTTAACATGAAAATTTAAATAAAAAGAACCAAGGAAGAGTTTGAGCTTTCATCCAGGGTCACTTTAGTGGATTGTTTGTGACTCTGAAACTGATTCTGCTGTCAACCCTCTGGCTTTTGTTTCCACAGTATGTGGAAGCAACATGAGAAGGACCTGAGGCAGACTTCCACAGCACCATAAATGCCAGTACTTTTTATTTATATGCATCCTTTCCGCTGCTTCACTTGGCAGCCCCTAGCAGCCTTCTCCAGTCATAAATAACTTGAGTTTATGAGAAATAAATAGCAAAGTCAAGTGTTTTTGTTTGATGTGAGTGAGGGCAATCAAAGATAGATTTTATATTATTACTACTGCCCCAGTCACTGATTATAAGGCTGAATCTTGTGCAGATATTTAAGTGCTGAATTCAATAAAGATGAAAGTCATCTCTGGACAACCGGTTATGTGACACTTCTTAAATTAGTGACAATCAATGTACAGGCTGCAGTTTATTCATTGGGAAGCAACTGAGAGTCTACAACTGTACTGTAAAATATAGTATCTAGCAGTATCTTTACATTGTTTACACTGAGGTGTAACTTATATAGTGATTAATTATAAGTTATGGCAAGCAAATTACTACCCAGCCATATAAGATTGTCTCTAAACAGTAGATACGCAACCTCAACAAAGGGTGAGAACTTTTCAACAATACTAAACACTGAGAACACCAGTCCGGGTCAGAGTAACCCACAATGGGGCCCTAGGGCAAAATAAAGTTGTGGGCCACCTCCTGTCCCCAAAGTAGTTTATCATTTGATTACTTAACCTTATTTAGGAATGTGCAGGGTGTGTGATATTGACTGAGATATAAAAGGGAAATTCCACCTATTTTACAATTAAAGGTCAGTTAACTTGTCAGTGAATTTACAGGCATGGTGGGTCTATTAGAAAAATGTCACTGGTTCTGTTATGGGTAATGGAGCAACTGGTGTTTTTGAGCTTGACCCATAGAGGTAGAGACATCTTGGGTTCTCCTTCCATTTTCACCATCCTATTTCTCTTACGAATCCTTATGGGAGTGCAATGCTGAATGAATGAAAGCAGTGCTCCATAAGTAGATTTTGACACAAGGCCTATTTAGAATATCTGGCCTCGTGATCTGGTAAAAATTTAGGAACTACTTTAAGGCCCATACCTGTTCAGTTTGTGATGTGTACCAAACAAATTTGCATAGAATGAAATTACCACAAAGGGTCCATTTGCCTGCATAGCCCAGCTGATAATCAACCCTTAATCAGAGTAAAACAATGACTACAATCTTTGCACACAGCACAGAGATGAACCATATATGATTGAGTGTAATGCACCTCTCCATGAGCATACGAAGCAATAGATTAATCTATGTACAGGACACAGATTGTATCACAGTGTCATTGTTAACATACAGAATAACTGTAGTGAAGACATAATGCAAATATAATTTTCCTCTACACTACCTCTCACTTTTCATTATGCAAATGTACAGGCAGGCAGATGACATTAAGCTATTAGCTCTCCTTTACTTTGTCTTTGTCTCTGCAATATCGCAGTATTTGTCTTTTGAGGCCATGATAGAAAAAAGGTCCTTGTCATGCACACACACACACACACACACACACACACAAACATTTCAGTTCCTGAACTTTAAAGCAGCTCTTGAACAGTGTGAGTGAATACAGATTTAGTCTGACATTGAAAACAAAGACAAACAACAACAGCCACAACCTGAAGTATAATGTACGTTAAACAGGACAACAGGAGGGCAGAATGGAAAGGACATCCAACACCACCAAAATCCACATTTAATATATAACAAATTTATAGTATCTCCTTTACTAACTCTATTAGTTTCACCAGCTCCACTTCCAAGTAACAAATCTGTCAGTTTGTAGTTGTAATTTGTTGTATATGCTCACAGTTTTTAATTGACCACCTGAATTTGGGATGGTAATATTGGGGGACTATGTATAGGTCATGAGGGACTTACATATAGAAAAATGTCTCATATACGTACATATACTGGAATCAACTCTGCCACTGTAGCCCTCTTGACAGAGTCTTTTTGTGGTGAAACATTAGCTGTAAAGCAGTTATGGGTGTTTTTCGCTGCATTTAGCAGCAATCAGATATTAAAAAAGACAGAAGTGAGCTCTTCTGTAGAGTCTAGAAATACTTTTTCCTTGCATGTTCTTCTGAGAACACTTTGACATTACCTGCATTTTACTTTTCCATTCAATCAATTTCTTTCTTACTTCACCGACAACACCATTCATTAAGCTACCTCCGTTTGGAGGAGCAGTAAAGCATTTGCATTTGTATATACAAAAAGACGTCTACTTAGATGACCGTACAGCAGTAGTTGGGGTCATTGCACTGGAACCATCTGTTTTGACCACAGTGATCTTGGATGAAGTATGTGAATGGTGTAGCACGTTCTTGCGACAAAGACGCTCGCGATAGTTTTGGGCAAATATGAGCAGCATGAGTGGGTTGATACAGCTATGGGAGTAGCTGAGGCAGATACTGATGTTGTAAGCATAGATGAAGGCAAGAGTCGGCTTGTTGTTGCTCAGGTTTATCACCTGAATCACGTGGTAGGGTGACCAGCAGATCAAGAACAGGGTGATGACCATTAGGACCATCTTGGTGGCTCTTTTTGCCCAAACAGACTGCTTCCGTTTAACCCGCCGAATGGAGCTGAAGATGTGGTAGAGAGTGAGTGAGTAGAAGGTGCTGATGATGATGAGAGGGATGATGAAGCTCAGAACAGACTGGTAGAGAGTGTACCAGTACATGTCTTCAGGCCTGTTCAGGTACAGCATACACACCTCCAAATGCTGCCTGCGAACAACCTTGGCATATATCATGACTGGGACAGTGAGGACGAAGCTGCCCAGCCACACCAGCATGTTGATAGTGATGGTCCACTGGATGGTCCTCTTTTCTGAGGTGGGGTGGACAATAGCTATGTACCTAGGAGGAAGAATACACTCTTTTAAAGTTGGACTGCCGTTTACAACACAGATGATAAAGTAACTTTCCTGAAGTGCATGTAAAGAACATTATTAGTTTTGCTGTAAGATGTCATTACTTCACTTACAAGCTTAGAGAATTAAATCAGGCAAGAGGGAATGATAGAACCAAGTACCATGTCAGAGATACACTTGTAATATGTTACGTGATCAGTAAAGTGATGAATGCAATGACAAATTAGTCTAATTTAGACGGAGTGACTGAGCACTAGGAAATGAACACATTTTGATTTGGATTGCATTGATTGCATTTCAAATTGAGGAGCTGCTCAGCTAGTCAACACCGACCTTAGTCTTTAGGACATCTGCAGGAAATGAATGTCCACTTTGTCATTACTGCAAGTGTCACTGAAGTGCAGCGACTTACATAGTTCCAGCAATTGTCTACATTTGTGCCCTGCCTGCCTGGTGAGATTTTAACGGGTGAGTAAAGTATTAAAATGCCGACATTTTTAAAATTTTCTTGGCTTACACTGTAAATCAGTAGTTTAGCATTCTAACAAGCAGCAGAAACTGGTGTCATAATTTGAGGATTTACCTTTAGTCTGGCAGTTGGCTCGATCACTGTAATTTGTCAACAACATGCCGAGCCCCTTGTTTAGCAAAGGGTCATTCTCGTACACATCATTTGTTTATTGACTTTATTAAATGTATGGTCAAAATGCCAGGTGTAAAGATAGAATGGTACAGAGCATCAGAGTTGAGAATTTCTTGAGTATATGTATTGAGAAACAAGTAGTTTTTGAAATTATAACTTCTCAGAAGCATCAGGCATGTGGGTCTTTTGTGGAGGCGGACTGGGGCAGGTCCATCCAGAGGAAGTCTGCCTCATCAGCAGCACTTTTATGTGGCGTATATCCTGGCGGGTTCTAAAATGTGATTGAATAGTGGGTGTATGATGAAATTAAAAATAATTAAGGGAATACTGAAGGATGTACACACAGTTTGTTCCTTTTGAATGTGCAGTTTCTATGCTTAAATGTTGAACAATTAATTTAGGCATTGTGTTTATGTACAATTTAAGTACTGTGTATTTGTGGTTAACCCTGTCAGAACTTTCCAGAAGACTGAGGTGACAGGTCAGTTTGAACTGGGCTTGGCTATAATGCAAGAGAGAGGGGAATTGACTGGTTTGAAAAGGAGTGCACTGGGCTAATCCTTGTTGTGTAAATGTTTGACAAAGGTTTCTTTCCTTTCCAGTGTGAAGTTTTTTTTCCTCCACATGCTTCACTATGCTACCTTGCACCTTGCCAGATCTCTACCCAGTCTCTGATGTGCTGATGTGTTAGGCTACTTTAGATTTTCAGAACTGAGCCTCACACTACACCGAATGTTTTATGCTCTACATTTGTAGATGTTGCTACATTGTTTCAGGTTTATAAAGAGAAAAACAGTTGTAATAAAAAGGACATAACTTATACCAATAATTTACATGTAGCGTAAGGAAAAACATTCTTATATAGGTAAATAAATGCAACTCAAAACTAAAATTACCGCTTCGTGGACATATGCCTCTGACAACCATATTCAATTGGAACAGACATGAGGTCACTGTGACCTCGACTTTTGGCCTTGGTCACCAAAATCCAATTAGTTCATCCTTGAGCCCAAGTGGACACTCGTTTAAAGATTGAAGAAATTCCCTCAAGGCGAGATATCACGTACACAAGATAAGGTCTGACAGACCGATAAATCTATGTGCAACACAGAGGCATGGAATGTTTTCCTCTGACTGCATTCTCCATTCTCCTTCTCTTTTTAATCTCTAAATATTTCTTGTGAATGCTTCTATTTGCTTTGAGCACATAAAACCCTATATACAGTATATAAAATATATTTAATGTGTAACAAATTTCATACACTTTAAAATACCATATGATTTGAAAAAAGGAAGTGGAACAACTATAAATAACTTTTCTTGATTAAAACAATATGTTTGTTGGCACAAGGGAACACAAAAAAGATGATTTTGTAATGTGTGATGTGCCTAAACATGGAGTTTGGGTTTGAGCTGTCAGTGACTTACATCTTTTTAACAGATATTGATGCTATATTAGAAGTGAATAGTTTCACTGTGATTACACTGATTCTAAACTAAGATAAACAGCTGTAAAGAAATGTGATCTTGATTATACTGGACAGGGGTGTGAGGTTTATCATTGGAGTTGTCAAATGGAAAATCCATCACTACACAGTAGTTTTATTAAACTGGAATGGAAAATAAATTGACTAATCAACTCCATGAAAAGTGGTAAACACTAAAACAGTTTATTTATTTGTTTGTTTGTACTTTTTCTAGCCTAGTTTTGTTTGCTTGGTTATTATAGTTCCATTAGTCTATTTCATCTTATCCTGGGATTGCACCCTAAAATTACTTGTTTCAAAGAGGCTATTTACTACAATGAACCTTTGTAACTTTAAATAAATAAACTATGAACAGGTCAAGTTGAACTGTTGTGATGACCAGGCTAGATACTCTAAAACCAAATACTAATAACAAAAATAAAAGTCCACTTCCAAGAGTTATGGATACTTTTTCAGCACATGTCGCAGTCATCAGAATGCAGTTAGCTGATCTAAAGGCCTACAAAAAGTGAATATGTACAGTATATGATGCATATATAATTTATGCAAGGAACAAATGATTACCCCAGTAGTTTAATACTTTTAACTTTGTTGTGAATATGGATCTTTTCCCCCCTTAAAGTGAAGGTGCTTTGCCTCTGGTTTTTTTTTCTTAAAGAATAATAAAATATTGACTGACTGCAGTGACATCAAATTAGTAATATTGATCGTTTTACCACTTACCGATCAATGCACAACACAGTGACAATTCCCACTGTGGTAAACTGGTTGCTGACGTCCACCACCACAACCGCTTTACACATAAAGTCTCCGAAGACCCATTGTCTGTCTCTGACCAGCTGGTGGATGTTGAAGGGCATCACAAGCAAGAAGAGCATGTCTGCTATTGCCAAGTTTAGCACGTAGATATCCGATACCATTTTCTTCTTGCATGCCGCCACTGCATAGATGACCAGTCCGTTGGCTATAACTCCAACTGAACACAGGATGCCATAAATTGAAGGGAATATGTGCATGAAGGTGGTTATATCGATGTAGCTGTAAGGCGAGGGGGGTGAGTTGAGGCATGACGGGTCAGTCAGGTTGTCTGTTTGGTTGTTTTTGCAAAATATATCCGTGTCATTCATCTTCAGATCCTCTGAGTAATCGCTTCGGTGTAGAAGTAATTAAAAAGCGTGCGCCAGGCGCTCACGAGCAGGCGTCTGGTCTCCAAACTTATTTGGCAGCAAACTCGTTCCCTCTCCAAGAGCGCGTAACCTCTCCTTCGGGCTGTGAATTCGCTTTTATAAAGTTTATATGATTCAAAACGGGAAAACGTAGACTCAAAGCTGACTATATAAGCAACGATGATCCCAGCAACGGGTTTATGTCTAGAAGCAAACTATGATGCACCTACTTACCTCTAACTTTAGCAAACATGTGCGCCTCCTTGGGCACTAGTTCCTCCCATTAAAACATAATTTACTGTGTCATAATAAGAAAGTACATTAAAAGGGCATTTTAAACTGAGCCAAGGAACTTTATATTTTGAAACACACTGAATATAGGTAAATTAAAAAAACTCTTTCAGTGATGCATTTTGATATATATTTACACTTTGTTACAGAGAAAAACTGAAAATGAATAATAGCCAATAAAACTAAAGATACAGCAGCCATTACCTCTTTAAGGTTTCTTTAAAATGTTTAACACCCTTTGACTGACTGAGCCACTTGTTTCCGTAACATTTACATATGCCAAGGTTTTCCTCTTAGAGTGCCATGGTAAAAGGAAACAAAGGTTTAAGCAGGCCTTGAGATGTAAGCAACAGGGAAACACTATAGCCAGCTCTGAGGCAGAATAAAGCCAAAGCATGATAAGGAACATACTGTAATGTGAGCATAGTGACCATTCATGAATGTGATACACAATAAACTAAGTGTGAACATACTGACCAGTGAACCAACAGCAGGAAACAAAAACACACAGGTGAGCTCTGATAAACACACTGCAGAAGAACAAGGGCCAGCAGAAACACGAGAGCGGGTACCTGAATGCTGGGCTACAGACTGAGGCAGACACTGGTGTCTGCTTCAGGGGCAGTGTGCTGTGAATTGCTGACTTACATACATAAAATACACAGTCAGTCCTTTGACTGCTGTTTGCAAACAAGTGTGAGTGATTAGAGCAGACAATATGCATGATAAGGCTGAAAACAGGTCATACGGGAAAGTTCAAGTGCACCAAAATCAGAGCTTTAAGCAGGAACGTCATGGAGTAGTGAGTGAGTGATACTGTTTCTTTTTGTATTGAACTTAAAACACATTTTAGATGGGCTTTTAAATATCCCCCTTTGTGTTTTCTCCAAAATATGATTAATTTCACCTGTAAAAAAAGCAGTCACTATCAATTAAGTTTTTAAATGGAGAATATGCACTGAAGGCTGCTGCCTAAACATACACACCCCCATACACACTCACACACACACACACACCAATCAAAACTAAAAAATGTGATTTGTTTTAGAGCTTTGTTCTGACATCTCTGGGTGCAGCTTTAAAGGACAGTAGCTGATCCAGAGTTTGAAGCAGCTCAGCAGAGAGGGCTTTCCTGGGATCTGACCACAGGTCAGCAGAAATATATTGAAGCATTCCTCATGCTGGCTTCAGGTGCCATTTGTTCTTTACCTTTGATGCTTTTTCTGTGCCAACTACTGTTAGACGTGGACCATGATGTGATTATTTTCACACCAGCTTTCATATAAAATACACTTTGAGACTTTTAGCCACTCTTGTTGTTCCAGACTGTGCTATAGACCTGCTCCAATGAGCTCTTTAAACTCAGCTCAAAGGAAAAAATCCTCACCTGAAATTCAAATTCATAATTTGTATTTTATCATCTTGCACTCTTTAGTTTAGATCTGTGAATATAAGCACCTCGTTTCCAAAAATAAAAATAAGTACAATTATGTCATCAGAGGTGTGTATGAAGATTGTATCTGCAAGTCAAAAACATGCTTCTCTGTCTGCAACTAAAATAGTAAGTCCAGTGGGTGTTTACATAGTACTTTTAGATGTGGGGGAATCAAGGACAAGAGACAAATAAACTGCCTTTTGAATAAACAACTTGCATTTGTTGCCTTATGATGGAAGTCTTCTACTTTACTAAAGTGTCCTTGAATACAGCCTTGAGACCCAGGACTAATCTTTTTTTTTATATTTATTAACTGTTGCAAGAGATGAACTGCTATGACATTTGGTACAAGTATCCATTTTCCTCTAGGATGAACTGTAATAACTTGTGATCCTTGACATTTCATCTTTATCTAGTCTAAATTTAAATATGCCTGGTACTTTATAACTGAATATCTGCAAATTCTCATCATTATCAGCTGTACTTTAATGTTAGCATGCTACCACACTAAACAAAAAGAAATTTACAAAACCAAGGAAGCATCTTAGCTACTTACGGGACTCGGGGACCGGCCAGTTGAGGACTGCTGACCCTTCTCTGGGTCCATGTCAACAGAGACTAAGGATACAGTGAACCTTAGAGAAGAAAGAGAAGACTTGTGAAACTTACATTTCTCAGATTTTACAAATATGGAATTCTCCAGGAGACACTGGAGATTGGCTCGCACATGCTGGAAATGCTCTTGTAGGGAATGAGAGAAGATCAGGATATCGTCGAGACAGACAAAAATCTAATTTTGCCTGTCCTGAAGGATGTCGTTGACCAAAGATTTAGATACAGCATAGGTGTTGGTGAGACCAAAGGGCATTACCCAGTATTCATAATGACCACTGTAGGTGTTGAAGGGTCTTCCACTCACCCTGTCAGATGTGAGCCAGGTGGCAGGCATTACATAGGTCCAGTTTATTGAAAATAGTCATCAAAAGCAGAGGAGATTAGTGGCAGCAGACAATGATTCTTGATAGTTATGTCATTAAATCATCTATAGTCAATACAGGGCTGCGAGGTCTTGTTTTTCTTGGGGATGAAGAAGAAGCCTGCCCCTACCAGCGAGGTGGATGGCCTTATGAAACTAGCGGCCAGGGCCTCAGTGATGTATGTTTCCATGGCTTCTTTCTGTGGTGCTGACAGGGGGTAGAGCCATCCTCTAGAAGGCACAGTATCAGGTAGGAGGCCTATGGGACAATTGTAGGGCCTGTGTGCAGGAAGCAAAGTAGCACACTTCTTATTAAACACCTCTCTTAGATGCATGTATTTGAGGGGTACTTCTGAGAGGTCAGGGAAGTCTTTGTGAACTGATGTAGATGGACAGGTGGGAGGGACCACAGGCTTCAGGCACAGAGAAAGACAGTGGGTACTCTAACCCAGGATTTTGATCCAGTCCAGGTGTGGGCTATGACGGGTCAGCCAGGTGTGCCCTAGGATCACCAGTAACTGAGGAGATTCAACTAGGTAAAACCCAATCTGCTCAATATGATTGCTGGACATGATCATATACACAGGATGGGTGCGGTGGGTCACCTTGTGTAGTAAATGGTTATCCAAGGCTCTAACAATGAGGGGGTGTCTGCTACAACTCTCCAAACCTGAAAAATACTTGTTTTGTTCATTGTGAGTAGTTAGTAATGATGTCCCTCCCACTGACAAAATGGCTGATAGTAGAGGATGGTGTTTACCCTGGTCAGTAGCTGAGTGTGAAGGTGCATGCCTGTGTGAATGTGAAGCAGGACATTGATGAAAAAGAGCATGAGAATTCAATAGAACTCCAACCTGGATCAAGTAGAATAAACGTGACAGTTAATTAAGGTTTACAAGCTTTTATGGACTGTTTCAAGGTACAAAATAAACCCAAAGTAAGTCTTAATATGTAAAGACACCTTAAACACGGATTAGTTACTTCTTGACACTGGAGTCCTGGACCGCTTAATTTTTACCACTTACAGTATGTTAGTGTTCATTGATGAGATAATGTGCACACCACAGTGGCCCGAGGCAGCTCATAAAAGCTGTACCTGCAGCTCACACTGCAGTGCCACCAGGGAAATAAAAACAGACACAGCAACTGGAACAAAAACATGAACAACTACAAATAAAAACTAGTCTGACTTGCTCACTGAAATAGACCAAGTAAACCATTTGCCATCTGTGTGACACGTAGCATTTTTCTGAAGTTGTTTCTTTAGAGCTTTAAGTTTTCATTTGTTTAGTCCAGGATAAACTTCTGTCTTCCTTCAGAAAATCAGTTCAGTCTCAACACTGCTGTAAATGTAAAATGTCTTATAGAGCAACTCTAAATTAGTCTGGCTCAAAGACCATTTTACTTTAGAGCTAAACACTTAAACGAGGTTAAGTCCATTTACTGTCACTAATGTACATGATAGATTGCTTTGTAATTATTTTTCAGGTGTAATTATGAAGTAGTTTGACAGCAACAGTAGAAAGATAACTGGAAATGAGGGGGCAAATGATTAGTAGTATTAACAAGGTATAGGTGGAACTATACAGATTTATCACTGAAAGAAATTATTTGCACATAAAAGATAAGCATATATTTTTGGTGCATGCAATAATGATAGTCTTAATGTCTTGGCTTGGATCTTATCATTTCCAGTGAGTTTCAATTGTGCATATTGCTAAATATATGCATTTAAAAATATACTTTGACATTTTGATAAATACTGTATGTCTATTCACTTTAGTAGTACACGAGCATATTGATATAACTCTTGTGTTTGCATGGCCACAGTCAGCAGCTGGTTAGCTTAGCTTACCTTAGTGTAAATACCTGGAATGTGGGAAAACCATTAGCTTGGCTTTATGACAAAGTATAGTTTTACAGGGGCAAAACTATTTAGTGACAGTCTCATTTCTCCCTGGCACCAAAAATTTACTGCCTGCCTGGCCTATCCAGTGTTGATCCAATGAAGCATAAATGTAAAAAAAAAAAGTGTAGAAAAATACAATTTATTCTAAGACCACACTGGCGCGCTCTGCTACAATTCAAAAGGCTTGATGTACTCTTATGCCACTGTGGTGGCTGGCTCCTCTTCCTGCTTTTCTCCCATCAGCCCCCCAATAAGGACTCATTTTAGTGAAGAGTATAATTGCCTGTGACATTGTTTGACTGGATTTTTAAGAAGTTTGCACTGATTTCTAGTGGAATTCTTTTGTTTGTAGGAGAATTGCCCTCAGCTCATGTAGAGAGGAAGAAAGGGTGGCTTAGAGCTGTTTCATGCAATATGCATGCACCACTTCTGTTTGTGGGAGGTAGCATTAAGTTAAAAATGTTTTCGTGTTAAAGGGGATGCTTTGTCACTGGGTGTCAATGATGCATGTAAACAAGATAACAAAAATAGTGCTGGTGGATGCTTTTGTTGACTTGTGTTTTTATGCATAACTTCAAGGGTGATGGGAAACATATAACACTCTGCCTGAGTGTTTTGCACTTGACTGACTGCTAGAACTGCTGTGAGTCACCACTGACAA